TCATTCAAAGATCCTCACTGAACTTCTGGAGTGAGTTTGCTGTACTGAAAGTAAAGGGGCCGAATAATTTTGCACGCTCAACTTTTCAGTTTTTTATTTGTTAAAAAAGTGTAAAGTATCCAATAAATTTCGTTCCACTTCACGATTATGTCCCACTTGTTGTTGATTCATGACAAAAAATTAAAATTATATATTTATGTTTGAAGCCTGAAATGTGGCGAAATGTTGAAAGGTTCAAGGGGGCCGAATACTTTCGCAAGGCACTGTATGTTCCAGACCGGCTTTAGACCCCACTACATCACTGAGACTGCTCTAGTAAAGGTAGCATATGACATCGAACTGATGCAGGAAAAGTCTCAGTCCTAATCCTGTTTCGACACTGTTGACCATGGTATCCTCATACAGAGACTAGAGGACGGAGTTGGTGTTGCTGGCACCGCCCTAAGTTAGTTTAGGTCCTATCTACAAGACAAAGTATTTTGTGGAGATCGGAAACTGGGTCTCAGACCATTTGGCCCTAACCTGCGGTGCGGAGTGCCACAGGGGTCGATCCTGGGGCCTCTACTGTTTAATATTTACATGCTGCCATTAGGTCAGTTGATACACAGTAATAACGTCACCTATCACAATCCCGCTGACAACAATCAGAAATATGTCTTACTGACAGCAGGAGAACATGGACCAGTGGTCTCACTCCTTCACTGCATCCAACAGATAAGTGAGTGGTTGCAAAATAATATTGTTTTCGGACCCCAGCAACAAAGAGAGAGCGTCATCTGTCATCTCCAGTCTCTCTCCCTAAAACCCTCAAATCAGGTCGAAATAAAGGACTCAGACGTAAATTTCAATAGCCACATCAGGAGCTTTTTACCATCTAAAAAGAATTGATAAAATTTAAAAAATTGCGTCTAAAGCAGACTTGGAGACTCTTATCCATGTGTTAACTATGCGACTTCTTCAGTCGGTTAGTCTACTGCAATGGCTTGTTCACAGGTCTCTCCAAAAAAGCGGTAAAACAGCTGCAGTAGGTCCAAAATGCTGCAGCTCGAGTCCTGACGAGAACCAGGAGGTACGATCACATTAGTTCAGTTCTCGGGTCTATACATGGGGAAGTTTCAGATTCATGCAGCTATAATCTGGAACAGCCTTCCAGAGAATGAGAGACAGTCGACTACATGGCAGTTTTCAAATCTAGGTTAAAAACAGTTCTGTTTGGTTGCGCATACCACTGAATGATTTTATCTTTGATTTTATCTTGACTCTTTTGCACGACTGTATTTAACCGTCAAAACTTTTTGCAAACATGCAAACAAAATGATCATCTTTCCCCATGTTCATGAGTTATAACTTTTTACTCTATGACTCCTAGAAACCAATATCAGCCACTTAAGCCACATGCAGACCACTGCCATAGTCAACCTTCCACCAGCCTCTGCTTTTGCTTTTAGCCATCTCATTCAACTTGGAACAATCGGCCACCTCCGAGGCCTCTCCTCTCAGCTCCTCGCCTCCTCTCTGCTTCTTTCTACTGGCTGTGTCACTTTGTGTCTGCTTGGCCGTGAGCAATGGGTGCACATGACCAGAAAATGAGGTAGGGGTCTCCATACAAGCCGTCTGTTTGTGTGTTTGGATTAAACATGTGTGGTGCACGCCTTCAGGCAGTGGGGGTTACAGTGAGAGTGAGTTATACTCTTGTATCTCACAACAATAACAAGGAGGGGTGTTCATGATTAACTAGTTAAATGTCCAACTGTCACATTTCTTAACCGAGACATAAAAGAGTCTGGTTAACTGCTTCCAGATAACTACAGTATGTGCCTCCAGAGAGAACATGCCCATAACACGTAACACACATTTCTAAGGGGAAAAAACAACACATCTGTTTAACTCAATAACATTTACTAATATTCATCAAAATGATTTACTTAGATTTAAATTTTCTGATGAAAACAGACTGGCTAATAAAAGTGTGTATTACTAGCACAGGTAAAAGTGCAGGTGCCTCGCTTCTGTCAGTGTGTCCCAGGGCAGCTGTGGCCACAGTAGTAGTTATCACCACTGTGTGAAGCGTCTTTGAGTTTCCAAAAGAGCGCTATACATAACTGATGCATTATTATTTGTATTACTTTTAAACTTTTAAATCTTCTGATTACATTCTAACCCAATATGAATGAAGATATTCCTTAGAGTGTTCAAAACATATTTTTCCCTAATTAGGCCAGTGTCATTCCAAGAACAACAGACTCACAAACATTAATTAGCCATATTCATGCATATAGGAAATCAGTGTTTGATCATTATTTTTTAATCAAAGGATTATCATAGTTTAAAGTTTGTTTACTTTGGGCTGTCAGCGAGGAGACAGATACACATCTCACTGATATCCACTTTTACACAGAATAAGTTAAAAAAAAGAATGAGCCAAAACACATAAGTGAAGTAAACCTTACAAATAATTACTGTCTTACTTCAACAAAGCTCCTTATGGTTACTATTATTAGTTGGTACGAAGAGCACAAAGTTGGCTGTGTGCGCTCATGCCTCACACCAAGAGGTTTGCGGTGTGAGGCAAATCTCTTAGTTTGTCCTAGGCCACGGAGTTCGTCCTGGGCCATGGAGTTTAGTTTGGGTGGGTTTCTTCCAGGCTCCAGTTTCCCCCACCACCCAAAATATGCACCATAGGTCAAATCCGCGCTATAGCGACCACCATACGTTGGAAAATGTTTTAAAGGAGCATGTTCCAGTGTTGTGCTAACTGCAAATGGCAGAATAGATCAACTCAAACTTCAGTGCTGGGGTGGATGGTTGGTGCTTTGAATGTTGTTTTTATTTCTTGTACTTGGACAGGTCGGGTTTGGGTCAATGTCACTATGCTTTTCTACTTGTCTGTGTGCAGCACAGCAGCAGGAGGCTCTCAGGCCCTCAGTGTGCACAGAGGGGACACTGGCCTGGCCTCATTAGGCCTGGCCCACCCACCACAGGCGCTGCAATACTGCTGGCACGGTGTCTGATCTAAAGGAGCATGTCTCTGTTCAAGCTAAGTGTTGCCGTTTCCATCAGGGAAACTGAGAGGCCACTTAAGAGAAGTTAACTTCCACCTCAGAGAGAGAAAAACGTGGGAGAGCCACTTGGCCTTAAAAATAGTAATATAAGTTAAATGTAGCTTTGGTTAAAATAACATGACTTTTTCAAATGTGTGTTTTTCCCCAGAGTTTATTTGTCTGGACAAAGAATACATAAGTAATGCAGCAAAAAGAGTCTGAAATAAAATATGAAAGAGGAAAATTGAATTCTATGAATGTGTATGTGTGTGTCCAAAGCCAATGACCTGATAGTGATATCCATTGCATTGTCATATGAAATAAATATATATGTCATTTAAAATAAATCATTACCATCAGAAGAGAACCCACACAATCATCATACCTGCCCCTCAGTATCCTCCTCAGTCCCCTCCTCACATTAGGCATGGACTTTGGGATTATATGAACACTTTCTCTGTGGTGTGTGGGGTAGCCCCGTCCAACACAAAGAAACACTTGGGGACAGGATTAGCAGGCTTACAGCGGATTCACATATGTCCAGTTCAAGCAATTGGTATTCAAAGCTTTACACTTTCTAATGCCACCAAGAGAGAGTAAAGGCATTGGCCGCACCTTTATGAGCTGGACTCTTTTGCTGGGCCAACAATGAGGACTGTGAATGCAAGTTTTTAATGCTTCGACTCTGGGGATCTCATTGTCGGTGAACAATCGGAGACAGTTTTTGTATGGGCGGTCGGAGTGGTAGAAGCAGACATGCAGATGGAGGGATGTGGAGCTAATGTGTGGGAGATTGTCCACATATTTGGGAAAAGGCCTTCTCTGCCTCTTCATGACCACAAAGCACATCTGAAGGGGACTCTTCAGATGTGCCAAAGGTAAAAGAGAAAAAGTGTTATTCTTTTAAATAGTTCATGGTGAAGTGTGTGTGGCAGGTTAAAAGAATATTGCAAAGTATTAGAATAATGTTATCCTGATAAAAAATGGTTTAAGATTAATAATTTAATTTCTTGTTGCAATAGATGCCATCAGACTGGAACAAAACTCCTTCAATGTGATCAGAAATTTTTACAATATAAATTACTTTCTAAGAACATATTTTATATCATCAATTCAAAACTATCAAATGCAAATATCATACTTTAAAAAAAATAAAAATATTCACAAACTTGAAAAACTAAACAATTGATTATTCAAAATAAATGTGTCTTTGTCCTGCATGCTACAAGCAACACACGTACAATATAAGCCCCATGCACACTTTAACATTATCATAATATAATCATCACAACAGCCCGGTCTTTGCGCACTAAAGTTTCCCGGCTCACCAGGGGCCATCAAGACCAGTCAGGGTAGACAATCTACTCAAAAGTCAAATAAAGGCCTTCGGGCCTAAAAATCATTCATTTCGTTCAAATCAAAGGAGAATGCATTCAGTAAAATTACTTTTGATACGTTTTAAGCCAGGGAATACATTACAAACGACGTGTGGCTCCTGTAAATTATGCAATTGGCGAATATATCCTAACAACTTAGCTTTTAAACCTATAGCTAAAAAAGGTTGATAAAATTACATTAGAATATTTACGTATGAAAGAAGAGGAAAATAAAGGAGAAGCGAAGCAGAGACGCGGTGCCCCTGACTGCGCGCTGATAATGACAGTGATGGGCAGTCCCAGCTCCCTTCAACCCGCGGCCGAATAGGAACGCTCCGAGCCCGGCGTGGGTATAAAAGCCTGTGGAGGAGGCGCAGCACAGACACACACTGACACAGCAGTGCACAGGAGCAGTGCACGGGAACAGAGCACGGGAGCAGAGCTGAACCAGAGGAGAGAGAGAGGAGAGAGTGGGAGGACCCGCGCACATAAAATGAATTCCGACTCCAGCGCGAGCAGCAGAGCATCTTCCCCGGACATGGATGAAATGTTTTTACGCGACCACCACCACCTCCCGCACCACATGGCGTCTGTGTCCTCCACCTCCAGCAGCGAGCGCCACAAGATGACCCCCGAGCACCTGCGCTCCGACAAGAACAGCAGTAAGTACAAGCTGAAGAAGCAGGTGACTGAAGAGGAGATGTTCCAACTGCGCCTCAAGATCAACGGGCGAGAGCGCAAGCGCATGCACGACCTGAACCTGGCCATGGACGGACTGAGAGAGGTGATGCCCTACGCGCACGGCCCCTCCGTGAGGAAGCTGTCAAAGATCGCGACACTTCTCCTCGCACGGAACTACATCCTGATGCTCACCAGCTCTCTGGACGAGATGAAGCGGCTGGTGGGAGAGATCTACGGCGGACAGCACTCGGCCTTCCACTGTGGGACCGTGGGGGGTCACCCTGCAGGACACTCGGGGGGGCCTGTAGCGGCCGCGGTAGCAGCAGCAGCGGCGGCAGCGCATCAGGTTCATCCACTGCTGTCCAGCTCTGTCTCCGGCCCTCTGCCCGGCTCGCTTCCGGGGCTGCCCTCCATGAGACCCCCGCACTCCCTGATGAAAGGCTCGCCCCCTGCTCCTCCTGCGCTGCCCCTGGGTTCCGGCTTCCAGCACTGGGCAGGACTCCCGTGCCCCTGCGCCATCTGCCAGCCGCCTCCACACATCCCCATCTCGTCCAGCGGCCTCACGAGGCTCACCAGCGAGGGCAAAGACACTATGAAATGACCCACCTCCCACAGACTGGACAAACACTGTACAAAGTCTATATATACATGTTTATAAGTTGTATAGGGCGTGTCTGGGCATCGCTGCATGCTGTATATGTTCTCTTATTTGAATAAAATATGAACTTTATTTTTCCTTGTAACAAGGACTTATAATTTTGCCAGAGGTGAAAGGCGGACCTGGTCATGCGTTATGTCGTGTGTTACGTGTAGTGGCACCTGACTCTACTGCCTGGACTTCTTTATTTCAATGTGATTTTGATGAAAACGAGGAGTGCCCTGAGAGGACTTGTCTGTATTGTGTGTAATGTGCGCCCCTGCACTCTTTTTTCTGCATGGTGTTAAAAACAGCAATGACCCAAGCATGACCGTTTTGCTGAAAAGAATTTCTAATGCCAGAGACCAGTGTCTTTATTTTTGTACATTGTTGATTAATGATTATATTTATTATTGCCAACTCCTGAAAACTATTTCAATAAAATCCAGATTCAGATCAATACTCGAGTTGTTTACCATTTATTTTCACATTGCTCTGCCCCTCAATTTGTGTTTCACTTGCATGTTTACAAATAATATTATGGAAGTAGGCCTGTAATATGTTTATAGAAATTGTACGTTTCCTTCAACTAGGCCGAAGTAAAGAATCTTAGCCTATGGGGAAAGGATGTATTCTAAAAACTCAATAAGAGCATACAATATTATTTTCTCTTCCATAAACGGCATGGCTAATTTATCATTAGTTGTTTTTGAGTATTTATTTATTCTTATTGATTTTACATTTTAGCGTTTGTTATAGCAGGTCTCCTAAATAAATATATCCCTCTCAGCTTTGCACCGCCCTGAACAGAGACAGTTTTATGCAGAAAGAACAGACTTTTTGGTAAAAGTCAAATAGTGACGCCCAGGGGAGACTGCGTGCGCCGCTAATGGAGCCCGGCAGAACACGTCCCTGCGCACCCGAGCGGTTTGCTGCCGCCGTGTCCCTTGGGTGCTGCGCCTCTCATCTCTGCGCAGACAGAATGTATGTTTGGGGAGATTACAAGTTAATTGTTCACGGGGGACCAGCCGAGGAAAGACATCAGAGACCGATGTGCGCAGGATTACAGGCTCCTGAAACAGATATTCAGACCACCACCGCGGCCTCCAGAGTGTATGAGCGCGGATTAAACAGAGCGAGGCCTTTTGTAACTTGTGTTCTGTGTTTTGTGTTTATGCCTGAGTTGGGGAAGCGCTGAAAGACTTCGCACTTCTCTTTTTGTCTTTAGGAATGAGTGCAGAGTGCGCGGACTGCCAGATGGGATGTAAATAGCTGGGAAGCTGCAATGGCCTTTTAAGCGCACAACACTGACGCGGATGTTGTCAAGGGAAGCTGCAGTTTGTGAGTTAATAGTCATGAGCCCGGATAATTACTTAAGGTTTATTATGCGCGGCTTTCAAAGGAAATGGACTCTTCAATAGGCGCAGAAATACTTCTTAATTCTGGCTAATTAGGAGCTGAGTTGAGCAGAGAACGGCTGCTGCCAGTGCGCACAGAGCAGGCGGACGGACCGACGCGGATAAACAGTTATGTTAATGATATGCAGCAAGACAAATGGAGCAGATGTAAATGAGGAAGGAGCCCGACTTTAAGCGGGACAGTGTACAGGAGAGGTCTGCCACTCACGAGATTAAGCTATGTAGAGATGCATTTAGTAAAAGCTTAATTGGTGGATTATCCTGTGTTCAAATAAAACCAATAGCTGCAAACAACAGAATAAAATCTCACAGGTATAAGTAAGGATTATCTGTTGCAATAGATTTGCATTTGACTTATGAATTGCATTTGTTTATTTAGGGAAATTATTCATTTACTTTTCATGAGATACATGAAAGGTTACAATTTATTGAGGGTACAATTAAATAAAAAAAACACTTTCAATACATGAACAATGATATTTTAGTCAACAACTTTTCGAACGGGTATTTTAATTCTAATGCAAGGCTCTATGCAGATGCAGGGCACTAACAATTAACCCTGAGTGAACTTCCCATAAATCTGTGTTGCTTTTAAAACATTGATGACTAAATGAACTTGTAGATGTCATGGGGTCTTTTCATGGGCCTTGACAAAGTGCATCGCACACCTGTTACTAGAGGAGTCATTGAGGTCTAACCTATTTTAGAGCGCTATTGCCTTTGTCCGACACTTCTTTTGCCGCTTTGACACATGCTAACAAGGGCCAATACAATACGCTTGCTTATAAATTATAACTACACTATGATAAAAAGAAAATAAGTATTTAACACATCATATGGGCCAGTTCTTATCAAATGAAAGTTAGTTGAGGCCAAATACTAATAACTGCTTTTAAGAAAGAAAGTATTTGCCTTTTACAATAAACAAACCTGCAATTTCGTTTTCAAACTGGATTTTCAGGGAGATTTTTAGATCACAATATCTGAATAGACCTGATATTTTTTGTGACAGAAGGCACCATGTTTTGTGATAGTTGCAGCCTCACTCATCAGATTTTTTTGTAAGAGGTTTGGCTCATGTATTTTCTAGCTTCAAGCGTTATGGCCAAGTCTAGCAATTGAAAATAAATTTCCCCATGATCAGGGTTGGTGCCCCCAAGCACAAGTCTTTCTCTGGAACAAAAGCAGTTGAGTGGATAACTTATTGACCATGTGTGACAGCTGATTAGAAGCACTTGTTCTGTCTCGATAGTTAGTGAAGCAGGTGCATGGTCCATTCTCTTCATCCTACGCTGCCCTAAGGGAAGCCCCCTGGGAGCCCCCCCCCCCACCCCTCCCGGCCCCATAACCCACCGGCACCTCAGCTGATTTTGCACATAATGTTTAACTCGTACTGCCAAAACAGTAAGCATATTTCCATCATAAGAGCTGCTCTGCTATAGCCATTAGCGACAGGCCTCATTTGCATGTTAATTGTGCATTGAGGAGGTGCTGTTGACACTTCCCTTTGTCCACCCGGGGTCCTCGCGACGGAGTGGGAGGAGAGCAGCATACGTGTGCGGTCTTTTAATATCAGGCTGGACGTGTCATCTGCTGCTGGAGCCTGTCAGTGATTGTGAGGTGTGGACACTGTTTAGAGAAGGACATGTCGGCTGAAAGTAAGTATGATATAAGTAACACTGAATGGAGGAAAGTATTTTAGAACTTTTCAATATAAATAGAACAAGACTTTGATCTAAATCTCAGACCTGGGCATGTTTAAATCCACATTAGAATATTTGAGTGGAGTACTATAATTGTGTCTATTTTGTGTACTTACTGCACTTGTATAGAATAATTTAAGAAATGTAATGTAGATTTTGTATTTCTGATTCACATCCTGTATCTGAGTGATCTTAAAGAACTCCATTATCAACAAATGTTTGCTGAGAGATTGGTCTGATAAGAGAAATGACCACATGGATTTGATGCACTATTTTATATATTTGATTTAATTTACTACATCAAAAATATGTTTTGGTTTTGCACTTGAAACATTGCACTCTGAACTATACTATTGCCAGAACAAATTCAAATCCCACAAAACATTAAAAAGTGATTATATAAAAATATATTGCAAAAGATACAAAGAATGCGTCTCTGTATACGGTCTGAAAGAAACAAAATTACGAGTTCAACTTATCACCACTTAAAACCAACAGATGCTGCAGGCGGAATTTGTCAACGTCATTTTAAAATATATGAAAAGCAGCAGACAATAGATTTTTCACCACCTAGCAACACATTGTCTGTAATGAATGGCTTGGACCACATCTGCAACACATTAGTAAATGCCTTATACAGCTATTTATCACAACTTATGGATAGTTTCTCAAACATTTGTGCGATAATAAATAACACATCTTATGAAACTTTCACCACAACTATTTTCTACACACTCTTGTGATATAATTGTTCTTCATAGTTGCAAATATTTTACAGGGCAAAACACAAGGAGCACAGGGACTGGCCTCCTGCTGGTGCCCAGAACCAGCCAAGGGGAGGCAGCTAAAATCTGGGACAGTTTTCCTTAAAATGTGAGACTGGCTTCTTCTCTGACAGGTTAAAAACAGCTGTGCATACAACTGAGGGATTTTATTTTAATGGCTGTGTGGCTGTATCTTGTTTTGTTAAGCACTTTGAATTGCCTTGCGTATGAGCTGTGTTATACAAATAAACTTGCCTTGCATTCGAACTGAGCAGGAATAGGGAGACAATCGTTGACACAAGCTCGTTTTGGTGCAACGTAAATACAGCTTTTGGTGCCCGGTTTCTGGCCGTATGCGTCAGCCGTAATGTCCTCCCTACAGTGACAGACAGATGGCCTTCAGTGCTCGGATGTTAAAAAAAAACAGCTCGCTCTGAGTGTTTGACGCCGTGCCAGTCGCCTGCAGTTTGGAGACTCCCCACGAGAGAGGAACTGTCCTGACACCGCTCAAAACCAACTGTCCTTGATTGTCCACTGTGTGTAAATGAGTCAGTGAGGCCAGGGGGACACCGATGTTAAAGCGACACTATACACAATTTATATAGATTTGACAACAGCTCCTATGATTAGTTACGAATGTTGGAATTTTAGGAAACAAACTGTTTACCGGCCTTGTGATCAAAGTTCATGATTATAAAAGATGGCTGGTCTGTGTAAATATGCACACTTAATATGCAGATTCACATCAGTTAGGGGGGCATTTGATATTGGGTCTTAACAAATACAACCAGTAAGGACTATTTGATAATAAGTATTGTTACAACCACACATGTCACTTTGAAAATGTATGTTTGTTCAATGATAATTTAAAAATGAATCTCATATTCTGAGTTATGAGGTCTCAAAATAATCCCAATGGAAAATATTAATTTTCAGAAAAATGTTTCAGAAACATTTTTTTCTAAAACTTTCATTAAAAAGACATAAGCCAACAATAACAACCCTAGAACTCTCTAAAGTCTAAACAAACTCTGTATATCCCTGACTCCTAAATGTATTTGCCTGTGTCGCTGCCTGGG